TTCAATCGAATAATTATCAAGCAAGAAATATTTATAATAGTTGAACGCGAGCAAAAAGAAGTGCTCCTGTGAGCAAATCGGAACGTTGAGCTGGGGTTCTACTTCCACTTCATTCGTCCGTTACGCAACGTCCGATTTCAACAAAATAAAAATGCAGGAGCATGAAACAAATACTAGGAAAGTAACGTCCTGCTACAATCGAATACGAACGCGAAAGAACAAGCAAATAAATATTTTTAACTGATTAAACAAAATCAAGCTTATTTTGCCCTAGTGCATTGCATCGACAAAGAGATCGTAATTAAACTGTACTTTACATTGACATTAATTCTTCGCTTTTTTATAGTTGATCGGACGAATAGATCAGTCAATCTGCAATGTTTAAAAACATATAAAGCGGTAACTAGCCATTACATTTCTTAGCTACACCGATTTAAGACAAATCAACCGGATTTAGATCAAACACATTTTATTTATTTTTCTTTTTTCGAAAAAGGAATTCTGGTTAGTATTTATTTAGATGGCAGCTGTTCAACCGTGCGCAATATATATCACGATATCTTTTCTTCTTTTAATGGGAAACCCGTTAATTCGCTAAAACGTGTCATAATTGCAGTGTAAAGGCGATGAGTGTTATGCGGAGTGCAAGTTCGTCTGCTTCTAGCACACGGGTTGCGATGATGTCAGAATGCCGAGCTCTTATTGGCTGATTGAAAGAAAAAAAAATAGTGGGTAGACCTCAAGGCATTTATAGCATGGAGGTTTCCCCACTATCCTTTGAATCAAAGCCAATCACAGCTCGGCGTGGTACTGACGTCACCGTAACTCCTGTGCTACAAGCAGACGTGACTGTATACCATCGCGCCACTCTGGCGTCGCGATGCTGCGGTGGTGGCGCTGTCGGCGGTACGCATGCGCAGGTGTATCACATTTCGCGAATCGTAAAATCTATGCTGCATATAAACCCTTTTTCGAATTTCTGTGTGGGCACTTCGATAGCTATCATCATCATCGTCATGTGAGTGTGTGTGTGGTGGGGATCTGTGGCGGGGCTAATGGCGGCTTTTTTGGCAGTGTTAAGCCTTCACGTTCTAAAAGGTTTTTTTTTCTAGTGCGATTAATGACGACGACAATTTTTGGATGTTTTTTTTTTTATACGCGATAGAAGCGTTTAGTTTAAACTAGTGTCTAATGAATCAGTGTGAACTATAAAAATTATTTTTAATATAATAATCTAAAGCAAAAGGTCTCATACATTTGCGTGCATTCCGGCTACTTAAAAATTGCGGGCTATTTGCGACTTTCATCGATGGTTGTACCGCGGTGTGTGAACCGCGCTTCAACTATAGCTCCTGGATGACTGGCTTCACGACACATGTGCTTTCCTACACCTTCTTGATGTGAAAAATTAATAAAAATAAAGTACGGTTCGAATACTGCTCGTATTTCACAAAATGAGCATTACTCAAGCGTCACAGACCCAGTCTCGTACTGCCATTCTACGACGATCATCCAGATGACAGCCATTTTGAGAGGCGCCAGTACGCCCCCTATATAGGTCCTGAAAGTTGCGAATAGACGCGGACATGGCTGTTCCCGGTGGGTGGTCCCGATTAAAATTAGTCCCGACACAAAAGCAGCAAAACCTCACCTGTAATGTTTGTATCTAGCTCTTTTCTAACTTACCTAGCAATGAAAAGCCGACATCTTGCATTATACTATAAATATAAATAAAGTTGACTAGCACTCAAACAGCTTCGATTCGTTGCGACCAAATGAACGCGCCTAAAATTTTGTCTGCTTTTTTTCTCGTTCTTTGACTCCCGATCCCAGCGCTCAGAATTTGTCTCGTTCCGCTCCATTGTCTTTGCTCCCCCCCCCCCTTTCCCCCTCCCCCCCCCCCCCCCCCGACTGGCTCACATTCGGAAAAAATACCCCTCGATGTAATATATTTTATCCAACTTCATTCAGGTAGACGCCTCGTACAAAGCGGAATTGAAACGACTAGAGTATGAACTGGGATGCGAAGGAAGCATGTCTGTCTACCTTTAATGCACAAAATTTGTCGGTGCCCGATGAGATTCTAGATTTGCACCGCAATTAGCGTGTGAAAAGTTGGGCTGATATTTATACCTCTAGATGGCACTGAATTTCTGAAAGGGTCTCTTCCGTCACATTCTGGTCTCCTGACGACAGGTTTGTATTAGAGCGACACAAATCAAATACACTGCTGTCAGACACTTCAAAAGCACAACGTTGCTTCTAGAAGCGAAACACCGACCAGAAAAAATTAACCGTTTGCCGATAAGGAGTACTGTGCACGGCTGCCTGGGTTCTCGAAAAAACTAAGTTGCGTTTTTGTTGTTTTTTTTTTGAGGGGGGGGGGGGGGGGGGGGGCGGACTAAAATTGCTGTTCGTGGTCTGAGTGGAACATGGTCAAGAGCACGCCACAATCTCATCTGCACAAAAATACAAAAACAAAAAAATCTTTTGCTAGACGACTGGAACACTTAGTTTTGCAGGTACAAGCGCCTTGCGCTCTGTCTGTAGGAAAGATTTTAAGTAAATGACTAAAGCAAGGCAATATCAAATACACGTACAAATTGGCTTTTTTTTTTTTTTCTTCATAAACGTATGGTTGTTAGAACGTGCAGCGTGTGTGCCTGCAAACCCAGCATGTACATACCTTGGTCCGGCATTAGTGAGTTTTAGTTTTGCGTATACGAGCGAACGCGTAGTAGTGTGCGTTTGCGTTAGCGTTGCGTGTTGCACACTTGGGCGTGCGGTGAAACCAGATTTGCGTGAAATGAAGCGTCTGGGCATGCGCCATGTCGACAGTGGTGCCACCGAAATCACGTGACGTCAAAGCCGCGTGTTGGTCTATACTCGATCTGGCAAGTGTTTTTCAGCGCTGACAAAGGAGTGCGGGCCGAACGGATGACTTTGACACACACGCATCGTGCTGATTTTCGTGGATGCCTCGCGGGAGATTCTTCCGATCAAGCGGTTAAAACACTCCCAACTCTGCTTTCAATGAAAACGTTTGCACCCTATTCTGAAGTGGATGCCGACATGCTTTGTTTTTGCACGAGCATTGTTCGCACTCTTCCAAAACCACGTGCCCAGGGCCACGCTTTTTGCCGGCGCCGAAAACAATTTGTGAGCTGGCTTCGTCAAGCACGTCGGCACTCAGCGTATTGGAAAACGAAGCTTGTTCTCGTCAAGGAAAGATAATCAAGAATAGTTCGTGGAGCTCGCGACACTGTAACGTACCGAAACTTCGTCCCTGCCCGTTTCGATACGGATGAGCGTCGTACCGGCGTGCGACCGCGTATTATTGCAAAGTGATCCGCGTTAAGGACCCCGGGCTAGCAGCGCACTGCTTCGGCTACAGTTTTCGTTTGCAGCGTAAACAAACGTCGCCATACTACTAAAAGGCAGACCGCTGTCTACACACGAGCGTCTAACGTCTAATCGAACATCAAAATGGCTGATTCACGTCGTACGAACACACACCCGATATACTGAAACTGGCGACCGATACACGCGTGCCGCTCAACGGTGCAGTTTCATCAAACACCAGTCACCGCGCCGATCATATTGCAACGTCTAGAAAAAATGTACCCGTTCTCAAGAGAGTTCACAACCACAATTCGAGCGTTTGCGTTTAAGAGGCACCGCCTTCTCTTTTGACCACATGAAAGAAACGCGAACGACTCCGTGTCTCCTTCGTACATTGTACCGCACGTGTCGATGTGACGTATACGATATCTTATTTCGCTTTCCGGTCGGCTCTGGTAACCTTCAGTCAGCGCACAGAAGCAACACAAAAGGTTAGCGCGGATCCATCGATGACGTTATGTTAAGCAAATGCTATTTCACGGGTCGGTTCGTCTTCCCAAAGCCCGACTAACGCTGGGGCCCGCTCTCATTAACGTTGCGTTAGGCTATAAATAGATATTCGGCGTTCGTGACGCCGCTTCGGTTAGTGTCGCGTTCCGGAGATGTTTGTATAGTCATTGACAGGGCGAGAGCGGCGGGGTTTATGCTTGGAACGCCCGGCTTCTAACACGCGCTGGTTGTCTTTTCCCGTGCTTTGGCTGCGCGCGTGCACGTTCGAGGCTCGCGGAACGCCGAAGCACCGCCGAAGACAGGAAGCACGCTTTGGAGTCGGGACAACCACTGTAGATCCTTCCTGCCGTTCTCTCATCTTGCCGACGAATACGGTGTTTTCGGGGTTTGCCTTTGGAAACAAAACGCGCTTTTTTAATCACTCCGGGATATCCGATGGGATGCGATTTGGGGGGGTCGACTTGGGGATGGGGAAGCGGCGTTCGTTCTCAGAATTACGGTGATAGTTTTTGAGCGAGTTTCGCCCGCGTGTAAAGTGCATCATCGAAACGAGAGGTTGCTACGGTGAGGATAATAATGAAAGGTCGTTGAAGTCTACGGCAGAATAAGAAGGCAACGCTCTTCGCCTTTTCGGAAAGAAGGGCCGAAATCCACGGCGCGCGCGGGAGAGCGGTCCGGCGCTGCAATCAATGCGAAAGGAGGACGAGGAAGAGAGTGTTCTCTCCCGAAAAGTCGTCGCCGTCGCAACTCCGAAAAAACCTCTCCCTTTAGCTCTCCGGCGAGCGAGCGGTCGGCCCCCGCAGCTCACGTCGACTCCGGGCTTCAGTCCCCATTCTCGAAACTCTCCACACAATAAACCGCGAGAACCCTTCGGAAAGACTATAGCGGGTCCTCCGCGGACTCCTAACACCTCCCTCCCTCCGAAAGAAAAGAAACAAACAAACGAGAGCACAACAACCCGCGAGATACGTACACATAGAAAATCGACGTCGGCGCGCAGTGTGTGGGGAGGTGGAGGCTCTCGGTGTGTGCGTGAGTGGCGCGCGCGCGCCCGCCGGGGTGGGAGTTTTTGGGGGCGAACGGTCGCGGTCGCTCGGTGAAGTCGCGGAGGGCTTGGCGAAGCCGGGAGGACGTTCGAAAAGGCTTACCTCGGGCCCGACGGAGCCGCGGTCAAGGCGGCCCGGGTCGGAGTCGCGGGCGATGGTCCGCCATGGCAGGATTTTCCGAGGGGCACCCCCCCACCGCTCTACCCTGACAGCCCCGTAGCCATAGCAACGCCGCGCGCGAGAAGAGATCGAGACGCGGCGAGAGTCTCGCGAGATCGTCTCTCGCGGCGAGAACAGCTGTCTCGCCTAGCGGCTCGCCGGCGAACCCGGGCTTCGTATTTTTGTTTCGTTTTCTTAGCGTTCTCTGGGTGTCCGAGCTACGGTTTGAACTTCTGCGTTTGAAAATGTGGGGGCCGCTCTGTGGCGGCTTGCAGGTGCTTGTCGATCGGAGCGCCGCCTCCTCCAAAACGCGCGGCGGTTGCTGTCGTTATTCGCATGGACTCGGCGCCTATAAACCAGTTGAGTAATCGACTTCAGCGCGCTGCCATTTTTGTCTTGTCAGGAAGTGTATTCATGATTGCTTACGAAGAATCTGAGAAAATGCATTCATTCGACGGATGCGATTAAACCGATTGTTGTTACTGCAAAGCTTAAAAAAAGAAAAAAAAAAAAACATGTGGCGAATTTGTTGGTGGTTTGTGAATAATCAGACTTTTTGAAAGTGTTAGCACCATTTGATATTTTTGTGTTGAATAGATCATTTTTAACAGCCATGCTCATTCTTGGCTTGAAGACCGGCTAATATTAATATACGCATAGTTACTAAAATCACCACGGTTAAAGGAACGGCGCTGTCTATACTAAAAGGATATATAGCTGCGCAGAAAGCAACTCGGGCTACTAGAGAAAAAAAGACGGTGTTTCTTTCCAGTAATCAAACGACGAATTCGCTGCCTCGCCCGAAACATACGCCAACAGTCGCAGTGCCACCGCGCTCTCGACGCAGTGTTGGTCGTTCATCGAAAAAGCGAGCTTCTCAGTAGGTTAAGAATTCCTCTTCTAATACGCGGAATGAACTGTGTAGTCGAGCATACGCTTTGTTTTCCGAATTTAATGATTAAGAACGAAACCGCCGACAGTTTGCGACCGCGAAGAAAAAAAAAGCGCATACAGCGGCTCCTGCAAAGGGTGCACCACCACTAGACGCCAGTGCACTGTGGCGGAACCGAACCACCGGACGGTGCCGTGAATCGGTGACCGCGTAGGAGCGTCAACTCCACGCAAAATCAGATTCGAATACGATGTTGACGCTTGGTGCCTCCGTATATGTGCACGTAAGTAGAGCTATTGCTTCCGTCGGGTTTTGTTTTCTAGCGTTTCTTTTATGGTTAGTTTATTACGTAGTGTGGTGAGCGGTTGGTTTGGAAGGAAGACTTTCGTACCCCAGGTGGCGTCGTCTGTCGTGGCTGTGTGCAGCGTTCGCGCTCTACTACTCTCGCGTGACGGTCTCGGGGAGCGATCCGCGTGGACATGTGTTTCGGGACGCACATGTGTGCGGGATTAGGTTTAGGTGTGGCGTTCTAATAAAGTCTGCATATATAGACGGGAGTTTTGCCGGCTCGTTGATTGCGGTCAAATAACTTCGTCAAATAAATTCTGTGTGTGTATCTGTGTGTGTGTGTATGTGTGTGGCGAGTGGGTGTATAAATACCTGAACGCAAACAGGACGTTGAACTTTTCCTTTTTTTTTGTTTTCTTTTAATAGGGTATTGGCGGTCATCGATTTTTACCGCTATGGTTTGTGTCCCCCGCATGAGCACTTTCAACAAATCTAGTAGGCTTAATGACAGCCATTCGATTCTAAGGGGGGGAGGGGATATGCGTCGATTGCTTATTCGCGCCAACAGTGTCGCGCAATCTGCCATGCTCGTCTACGAGTCTTGGTTTCGTGTTTCTAGTATATACCGATAATCACCGAAAAGTAACTCACAAGCCGGTTTTATCAAAACCTGGGAAAACCGAAAAACTTTCAATTAAAGCTGTCATTAAAAATAAATACTATAGCTTTACGGAAACAAATTGTTATCGAGAGCTTTCCTTTCCGTTAACATGAAACACACCTGCAGCCTTGAACTCGTTACCCCAAAAAATGTAATCGATTACAATCAGAATTACTCTTGGTTAAAAAGCATTCAATTATATTAATCGATTACTTGAGAAGAAGTAATTGGCCGTTACATGAAAAAGTAACCCTTAACTTTTCCGATTACTTGAGTTTTTCAAAACGCCACATTTTTTTTTCTGCCAGTTGGAAAACGGTTGATTTTTGTACCGTTCATTATTAGAGTGAACTCTAAGATATGGCTGCGCGTGTACTTATCTGCAATACACTCGAAGAGCCAATCTCTGCGGTTTACGAAATGCGGGGTCATTAGAATGTGAGTTTGAGCACGGCGTAAGATGGGCACCCTCCTCGCGAGTGAAATGTGGAGGCGAATGGGGGAGAGTCGAGGCGGTCATACGCAGGTATTAGAGGATAGCGGTTCGAACTTTGGGGAGTTGCTTTCGGTGTTCGCGTGGGTCGTAGGACTCAGGCCAGAGGGTAGGAGGCCCCGGATTTCCCTCAGCGCGGGAGAGCGCGTGGGCTCTTGAATTTCCTCCCATGCCTCGATGGCCTGGTATCCATTAAGTGGTGACGTTCAGATGAGGGTGAGTAGTTAGGTGTTGTTGGATGAGGGCGTGTATATGGGGAGGGAGCCTGTTGTCCCCGAAACTGTCGACAAGCTCCTTGACTCTAGGTGCGTATGAGAATCTGATCGTGATGACGTGTGGGCATGATGATGGCCTCGGCGATGGCAAGTGTTTCGGTAGCCGTAGGAGAGGGTACACCTTCATGCAGAGTGGTATGGGAGTAGGTATTGTTAGTCACTGCCGTGCGACATCGGTCAGGGTAATAGCTGGCATCAGTGAAGTAAAGGTCTGTATCCGGCGGTTCCCCTTGCTTCGTGAGACGTTTGACACGATCTTCCCTTCGAGAAGAGTGGGCCTCCGGACACATGTTTCGCGGTAGGGGAAGGCCATGTAGACGTGGCAGTGAGCCCCATGGTGGGGAGGTTGGAGGGATGAAGGGGAGCTTAGGAGGTGTCATAGTGCTGGTGGTCTAGTATTCGTCGGCCCTGTCGCGATGTACCTAGGCGTTCATGTTGAGCGTGGCGATGCATGGTAATGCGCTCGCCCAAGGTGTTGTGGATGCCAGTTAGAGGTAGTAGGTGGTTGGGTGCGAACCGTGGAACGCCAAGTGTGAGTCGGGTGCACTTACGGAGCCCGGTTTCGAGTTTGCGGATTTGTGTGGTGGTGAGGGTGACATAAGGTAGGTTGTACATGACTCAAGTGTAGACCAGGGCTTCGACCGTTTTACGCATCTCATGTTCTTTCAGACCTCGGTTGCGCCTGGATACTCTAGCGAGCATATGGTGAATTTCGTTTATCTGCTTTGTGATGACTGATAACCACTCGTCCGCTTTGCCGTCCTGTTGGAGGAGGAAGCCTAGAACCCGTATGGTGCGGCAGCGAGGGATGAGGGTGCCATTTATATGTAGTTGAATGAGTGCGGCGGTAGGTCGTCTGCCTTCTGCCCCGTAGCGTTAGAGACAACGATGTATTCTGTTTTTGTGGGGGAGCACGTGAGGCCAAGTTGCGTTATGTGGGTGTGATTGTGTCAAGTCCGGCCTGCACCGTGGCTTCCTGGTCTGCTGGGGAGCCGGTGCAGCACCAAACGGTGATGTCGTCCGCATAGATATTGTTCTGTAGGTGCGGGATTTCATAAAGTTTACCCGGGAGATTCTTCAAGGCTAGATGGAATAATGTGGGAGAGAGAATAGCCCCCTGTAATACTCCAGCTGTTAAGGTATGGTCAGGGGATATGAAGTCATTGACCTGTATCTGTACTGTTCGATCGGTTAGAAAGGCTTTTACATAATTATACATTCTAGAGCCGGGAGTTGTGTCCAAAAGGTTATCTAGTATTGTGTGGTGCGCTACAGAGCCAAAAGCATTGTGAATGTCTACGCTTGCTGTGGTACGCAGTTGTGTAGTACTGGCATTCTGGTATATATCTTCGTATATGCGAAGCATGGCATCTTGTGTGCTAACATGTGATTGAAAGCCCGTCATAGTGTATGCTAAGGAATCTGTGGTCTCTAGAAGCCATTGAAGGCGATTTAGAGCCATCCTCTCCATAAGTTTGCCAACACAAGAGGTGAGTGAAATAGGTCGGAGGTTGTTGATCTGGTTGGGAGGTTGTCCGGGTTTCGGGATGGGTATGATGAGGGCCGTTTTCCACTCATGAGGGAGGATTCCAGTCTCCCATTTTTGACTGATTTGGTTGAGGAGAGGTTCGAGGAAGTGCTCCGGTAGGTTGCGTAGTGTGGTGTAGGTGATTCCATCCATACCCGGGGTCGTGTTCCTTTTCAGGTTGTGAAGAGCTGCTTGTAGCTCGTTCATGCTGAAAGGGGAATTGATCCCGGTGAAAATAGAGTCGGGAGATTCGGGAAGATGGTCGGGCAGTGGGGAAAGGTTTGGTTTGTGTGGATAAAAGAGTTTTTGTATGTCTCGTGCAAGAGATTCAGGGTCTGCTCCTGCATGCATGAGAAGCTTTGTTAGTGTGTGCCTAGGTTTAGCCTGTCCCAGGAGGGATCGAAGGATCTGCAACACTCGAGGTGTGTGTAGTTGTCCGTTAAGCTGATCGCATGTCTGGAGCCAGTTCTCGGTAGTAAGGGTGTATGCATATTCCTGCGCCTCCTCAGTGATAGCCTGTATAGCTTTTTTGAGGGGGCGATTGGTCTTGTTCTTTTTCCAGCGTTGTATCGTGCGGTGTCGTTTGTCCCACAAGGAGAGGAGGTGTGAGTCTACATGTTCGTGGTCTGGGGTGTTTATTATGTGCTTTGTGTGTTTGCAGTATGTGGAGTGTAGAATATCTACCCACTCTTGGTAGGAGGAGGGGTGGGTAGTTCCTCTAGTTCCGTTCGGAGTTTATCCCATTTGGTCATTCTAGTAGGCAGTCCTCCCTGGGAGCTCTTTCGGCGTGTTTGAAGGTAAGTTAGCGAGGCCTGTAGGATGCAATGGTTGCTCCCCAAAGTTTCCTGGAGGTTATCCCATGTCGCTGGCACTGGTCCGTTGTACCATGTGAAGTCTGGTGAGCTGTCATGTTCTACGCTGTTTCCTGTACGTGTGGGCAGGGTGGTGTCATTGAGAAGGGTGTATTGATGAACTTCCATGGCCTGCGCTAGCTTGCGGC